GAGGGAGGAAGGAAGGAAGGAAGGAAGGAAGGAAGGAAGGAAGGAAGGAAGGAAATGATGGGAGGTGCAAGGAAGGAAGGAAGGAACTCTTACATACTACTGGTAGGAGTACAAATTTGTATAGCCATTATGGAAATTAGTATGGAGGTTCCTAAAAAATAAATTAAAAAAACTACCAAGTGACCCAACTATACCATGCCTGAGTACATTCCTGAAGGACTACTACAACATACCACAGAGATATTTTCATATCCATGTTTATAACCACATTAGTCATAACAGCTAGAAAATGAAAAGAACTACACTTCCTTCAAGAGACAAATGGCTAAAGAAAACACAGTACAGGACAGGCATGGTGGCTTATGCCTTTAATCCCAGCACTCTGGAGGCAGAAGCAAGTGGATCTCTGTGAGTTCAAGGCCAGCCTGGTCTACTGAGAGAGTTCTAGGGCAGCCAGGGCTACATTGTGAGATCCTGCCTAAAAAACAAAACAAAGCAAAGCAAAACAAAACAAAACAGGTACATATACACAAAAGAGTGTTATTTAATCATACAGAAAAGTGAAATGGCATTTGATGAATGGATAGAACTAGGAATCACTACAAATGAGAAACACTGCCTATTTTCTCTCCTATGTACAATCTAGAACTACGTGTGTCTACGTCATGAAATAGAAAGGGGACTGTGAAAGGGGGAAAGAGCTTTAAAGGGGTGGGGAAAGGGGAGAAAAAGAGGGAGCTGGACCATGTAAGACATGAAAGTAGAAGTAGGGACTCATTGAAGGGAGGAAGGGGACCAGTAATAAGGGGGAGCAGATGGAGAGTGCAGTAGGGAATGGGGTGAAACAGAACAGCAAATAATGACACAAGTATATGGGACTGCTATAATGAAACCCACTATTTTGTATGTTGATGTTAAAATTAAAATATATACATAGAGGAAAAAAGAGAACATTCACGGAAAGTATAACTACTGAACAGCTAAATAACATATACATATGTAGAGGAACAATGACCAAATATGCTCTAAATAACTACTAAAGTACCAAATTAAAATTCATAATCTAAAAAGAATATGCTGCATATTTATATTACAATCATGTTTTCTTTTAAAAAGCAATTACTCTCTAATATTGTTCTTGCTCACCTAAAATAAAGGATATAGATAATGTTGATATAAGTGTCCCAGAATTCAGAAGAGTTAGGGGCAAACAGTTAAAAAACTAAGTTGGGTAATTTTTCTGACTAAAGTCTCCAAGTGAGTAAAACTATAAGTTACAAACCAGTGATTGATGTACGGTATTCAGCCCAGGTCATTTTAGTAATCTTCATGGATGGAATTAAAAGGTCAGACCCTTTTAGGTATTGGTATACTATCTGTGTGTGAAGACACATGAACATCATCTCAGGATTCTGGAGGCTGAGCTGAGAAGATCATAAGTTGTAGGCCAGTTTAGGCTACACAGTGACACACTGTCTCAAAAAAAGAAAACTTGTAACCATAATCTATAATAAATACTATTACTTACTAAGTGGAAGATGGGATTTTACAAAATAACTAAGCTTTCTCCTCTCTTCCTCAACCCACCTATTGGGCAAAGTTTCACTATGAAAATGAGATACTGTTTACTTACAAAAGGGTAGACCAGAGGATGGTTAATCTACTTTACTACCCATCTGCCTTCATAAACCAAGATTTAGCATGCGAGATGAAATTCCACACTAGAAAAGGAGATTTTTTTTTTATTGTTCTTAATATTTATCTGGACACAATTTTGAGAGTTAGAAAACAGATGAGACTATGATATATATCCCTGGTAAGGTAATTAAGAAACTTAACTCACCATTTTTTGGGTTTTGTCAATGGTTTGTATTTACTGTATTTTACACGCCATTCAAGAACTTCTTTGCAGCGCTGACATACTCCATCATGAAGTTTTGCATTAATTTTCTAAAGACAGAAAAACAAATTAAGAGCTGTATACAAGAAAGGTTCATGGGAATGTTAAGGTTCTTAAAAAACAATAACCTTAGGCTGGTAAGATAGCTAAGCGAGTGAAGTCACCTGACACCCAGTCTGATGACCTGAGTTTGATCCCCTGGACCCACATGGTGAAAGGAGAGAACTGACTCTTGCAAGTTGTCTTCTGACCTCCACATGCACACTATGGGGCACACACACACACACACACACCACCACACACATGAGCACAAAATAATTGAGAAACAACAGCCACACTTTATATAAGATTTCATGACATAGTATATTTTATGCATATTACTACTCCATTTGTTTCTTTACAAAGGCAATAGTTTCTAACCTGCCAGAAGGTTAAAATGTTTCCTAAGTGATTTTGAGAAAGTCTTCTTCATTGATCCTGATGTCTATCATATCCTTGTAGGTCAAAATTCATACCAGATAATTAAGATACATGCTACTGTTTGCAAACTACACTGAATAAAAATGTAATAAAAGAAAAAAATCTTAAGACTACTATTTCTTGGAGCTGGAGAGATGGCTCAGTGGTTAGGAGCACTGACTGCTCTTGCAGAAGACCCGGGTTCAATTCCCAGCACCCACAGGGTGGCTACAAACCATCCTTAACTCCAGTTCCAGAGGAATCTGAAGCCTTCTTCTGACCTCCGCGGCACTGCATGACACAGGTGCACTCACATACATGCAGGCAATACACGCATACACATAAAATAAAAATAATAAAATATTTTTTTAAAAAGACATTTCTTTCCTTTTCTTTTGTCTTTCTGAAAGCCCCAGCTGGCCCTGGAACTTGCTATGTAGACTAGGCTGGCCTTGAACTCACAGAGATCCACCTGCCTCTGCCTCCCAAGTGCTGGGATTAAAGGAGTGTGCCACCACGCCCAGGCTAAGACTATTATTTCAACAATTTAGAATCAAACTGAAAAAAAATCAGAGTTTTGAGTTATCAGTTTGTTGAGAACAGAAACTGTGAAACGAGGTAGAGGAGGGAAACTAGCGGGAAGCAAAAGGGCGTTCGTCAGTGGGGTCAAATGTATTATCGTAAGGCAAGTGTTTTAGAGAAGTTCCTCTGGAGGTCTAGTCTCACATAACAACAAAACAAAACAAAACAAAACAAAACAAAACAAACGTCCTCCAGTCAACCTGCTCTCATCAGAATAGAACATCGGAATAGAATGTTACAAGAACAGCTGCTGAAGAAAGGGCTTTATGAGGGAAGAAAGCATTTTTAATCACCGTTTTCTTCTGAAAATGTGTTTGTATAAACAGGCAGTGGCAAAAATTTAAAGTACCCTAAATCCTCTGTAATAGTTTTTTCTTTAATTTCACAGTTTATTCACCAGACCTAGGATTTAGATTCTAAGAATTCTACCATTTCTGTTGATGGGGTCTCTGACCACTGTTGGAGATAATGAGTGGAGGACATGTTCTTTCATTTCCTTTTTAAAATTTCCCCAGGGGACCAAAGCACATCACATAGATACAGGTTCTTTGGGAGGCTATTTGATGATGAATTCAAACACAATGTTTAGACAGAGCAGCTGGAAAAAACAAAACTTGAAAGCCCTTCTCAGCCACAGGAGCTCTGAAGGAAAAATAATCTGACAAAACACTGATGCTAAGAGAAGATATTCCAAGGCCATTTTCAACAAATGCAAATGAAGTTTTGAGTAGCTAGAGTTTAACTCGGGTGAAATGTATGTTCTGATGCTTACGAATTATGATGGGCAGAGTCCTTCCTTTCTGACACATAGATGGAGAGTGCCTGGGAGAGCCAGTTCTGCATGCATCTGTATGCACTCATACCGTGGTCCATGGAAGAAAGAAGGAAATCTATGCCTGCGCACCAAACTCCACTTCCTCTGCAGCCTGGCACCTGGCTACCACTATACAAGGCTGGCTAAGAAATACACAGAATAGAACTCAGATTCACAGTTCAGCAGTTGTCCTGCTGCCTAGGGTGCCTTACTAAATGTATAACTTGTACTTACGTCATTCTAACAATTACAAGAACAAACTAATGACTTTGACCCAAGATTATACTGTGAAATAAGCTTTCTAACAAGAACATTTTAAAATGTAGGAAATTCCATGCTGTGATTACAGCATATTACCATACTCTGTTTGACTAGGAAGCAGTATTTGGTTTCTTGTTTGCTTCTCTCTCTAATTTCTGACCAGCTCATCTTGATTTACAAAGCCCTGCATAGTTTGGAAACTGGTTTCTTTAGGGTGGATCAACTGGAGAACAAAGCAAGTCTTTGTGGGAACTTGTTTTGTGAGTGATGTGAGGCTGTATAAATGGAAATGTTGTGCAGGGTTCACATGACCAACTGGAACTACTACAAAATTAACCTTGATTTTTATGTGTTAAGAAGTGAATGAGAATGGCAAGAAGGAGAATGTTCCCTCAAAAGTACAGAAAGAGAGGCACCATATTTTACCCATTTTGGAAAACTAATAGCTCACAATATTTCAGAGATGTGAGCAAAGAAAGCCAGTTCTTAGTTCTAGGAATTGTTCCACCTGGGCAAAGGAGATGACAATCATACCTTACACACCCATTTACATCTAATCCCCTATGGCAATTAATTTTATTATACCCCTCATGGTAGGTCATGGGTTAGTACAGAAATACAAATCAAAACTTGGTTTTTAAATATAAGAACTTTGCCAGGCATGGTGGCGCACCCCTTTAGTCTCAGCACTCAGCAGAGGCAGGCAGATCTCGAGGCCAGTCTGGTCTACATAGTGAGTTCTAGACAGGCTGGGGCTACAGGGAGACCCTGTCTCAAAAAGACCAAAAATAAAATAA